GCACCCACTTGAGCTATGCCATCTGTTACACGTGTGTGCATGGGCCATCTGTGCTATGCTGCTGTTACACATGCAGGAATGTTAGGAAGCGATTTTATTGTCTAGACAAGTTAGAGCCAGAGTTGGCACTAATCTGATGGCTTTAAAAAGTAGTATATGGGTTATATATATATATATATATATATATTTTTTTTTTTTTTTAAAAGACTTAGCTTACTTAAAAGTAAGAATTACAGGGAGGAACAGACAGAGTTCCTCCATCCACTGATTCACTTCCCAAATGATTGCTATGACCAGAGCTGGGGTGATCTGAAGCCAGGAATCAGGAGCTTCTTCTGGGTCTCCCACATTGGTGCAGGGACCCAAGAATTGAGCCATCCTCCACTGTTTTTCCAGGCTGGAAGCAGGGAGCTGGATGGGAAGCAGAACAGCTGGAACTCAAACTGATGCTCATTATGGGTTGCTGGCGGAGCAGGCTGAGGCTTCCCCTGCTACGTGCAGGCACTGCCCCCGTATATAGCCTCCTTACACATTTATACACATATTGTTCTCCAGCTTAAACTTGCTGGGTATTGGAAAGGCCAAGCTGTGAGTAAGATGGATGTGGGCTGGAAGTCCAGAGCAGCACAAGGGTCAGACTGCAATTGTGGTCAGGCTGCTTGGAACCCTCGGGGCTGTGGCGGTCATCTATAAACAGCACAGCTCGCTCTGGGGCAGACACCCAGCCTCACTGGCTGCCCTGTCACCCTCCAGGGTGGCTTCATCTGTCCTCACTGCTGCAGCACCAGTAAGAGACCACCTGTCAGCGACACACGTGCTAAGAATCTGTTGAGATGCACCGTGGCAGAGAAAAAAACGAACACCAGTTTGGAAATCATCTCCCAGCCTCGAGTGCCTCACTTAGCACTCACTAGGGGGATATCCTGCCAAAGAGCAGCCTCAGCTGTGCAAATGAGACTGTGCCCTCGGACCAGGCCACTTAAGACTCAGCACTGGCTCACCCACAGCACTAATGAGCATTCTTCCCGCTAGCCTCAGGCCCCAGAACAACCCATAGCAGAGGGCCACAGTCCTTGGCAATCTAGCCTTAAAGCAAAGTACTTGGCACAGAGCTGGCAGGTGACCAAGCACACACAGCTGGGCAGAGGGCCCCAGGGGGCAAACAGGAAGTGGGATGTGTGAGGTCTGAAGTCTGTGAGCCTGCCAGAGGAGACTTGTACTGCTGGGCTGTGGGACACAGCAGGGAAGGGCAAATGCGAACTGTGGGTGAGGTTGTGCTGGAGACGCTGGTAGGTTGCCAAGGAAACAGGAAACTGTCAGGTTTAGGGAACTGGGTTCAGAAACAAACCTGAGCTCCCCTTGAGTTTCCTGCAGCCCCATCATGTGGAGATGACTGGTCGTACACAGGCACTATGACATCTGTGTGTGTCCACGTGTTAACATTACTGCTGACAAGCAGGACGCAGAACCACATGGCTTCCACCACAGTGTGGCTCCCAACCCACGGTACCCTGGAAATCATGGTCTCTCAAGCAAGAGACCTCAGGTGCTGGCACTGTGGTACAAAGGGTTAGCTCACTGCTTTAGTTCCAGTCTCCCACACGGGAGCCCTGGTTCAAGTCCCAGGCGTTTCACTTCTGATCCAGCTCCCTCTCATGCACCTGGGAAGGAAGCAGAAGACGGCCCAAGTGCTTGGGTCTCTGCCACTCATGTGGGAGACTTGGAAGAAGCCCCTAGCTTTGGTGGGTCCACCATGGGCTGATGAAGCCACTGGGAAACGTGATCTTCCAGCAGACACATGATCTCTCAGTCTGTTACTCTGCCTTTCATAGAAAATAAATCTTGAGGCAGAGAGATGTGCCAAGAGTGGCAGCCACGGCTGCAGCTTCTTGGACAAACTCAGTGCTAACACTGCCATCTGTCAGTCTTCAGCAGCGGCCCAGGACACCGATCAAGGTGATCAGACACCTCTGAGCTAATCAGTGCTGCAAGAGTGACACTTGCTAACTCAGCTCTTGCAAACTCACAGAACCCATGCAGCTGGAGGAGTTTCCTTCCATTTAGAGCGAAGAATGTAATAATGCCAATTTAAACCAAAATTCAGGCTTCATTTTGCCATATTTATTTTGGCAGAAAGCCTTTGTTTATCCTTTGAGATCATTAAGCAAGGAGAATTCTGAAGCCTTGAACCATGGACCACGAACTGCCTGAAAAGAATGACCTAGTTTGTGGCAAGGCAGTGTTTGCACTTGGATTTGTGTAGGGCTGCCTTTGAGATCATGTTCTTCAATCACATACTACAGAGTCCCTGCCTTGCAAGGCTGCAAGTGATCAAGAACGAAGGTTGGCACACACACACACACACACTCCTACTGTCCCTCTGGAAATCCAAACAGGTGTGTCCCTGGGCTCCTTATCGAGCTTTCTGGAACAGGGGGGCGGCAAGTGCCTGGCTGCAGGGTGGCTCACCAACTCACCGACATACAGAACACCTCCCATCTGCAGGACCAAGTTCTGGTCTACGGACCTATCCCAAAGCAGAAACCCAAGGGGGTTCCAGAGGGAAAAGGAATCATGTTATTTCTTCAGACCAGACCCTCTGTGGGCATCACCACATGGAATGCAAAATAAACGGTCACACAAGTTACGACGTTACTGAACAACCACAGAATCTCCAGGAGTCCAGGCATTCCTCCCAAGAGGATTCCCAAGCCTGAACAGATCACTTGTTCTTACCACTGGGTAAAATTTTTGTGGGAACACAGTCCTCTATTAACACAGGCACAACCTGAAAGGTGTGTGGAAGGCCTCACAGCAGTCACACTGTAAAATGTGTCAAAACACCAAGAGTCTGGCTCACGTGAAGGAACTCACAGGATGCTCAAGTGAGAACATCTGTGCCAGAATGTACCAGAAGTTTCCTGTAAACCAATGACACACTCTGATTCTTTGGTGGAGTGATGTAGAGTTCACCTTACTCCCCCAGGCCTCAGGGCACTGACACAAAGCCATGCCCCTTCCTGCAACGCTCCCAGACCTGTACTTTCCCCCCCTTCTGTTCATGTTTTGTGTAGGCCTTTACAACAGTGCTGGGAAAGCAGCCAGGGAAATGACATTTCTAATGCAGATTTAACAAGCACATAAATTGTCACAATTACTTATACTATTAAAAAGGAGGGTTTCTTGGATCTCATTGCACATGTTAATCCAAAAAAATGGCATAAAAAACTATTTATTTTTATTGGAAAGTCAGAATTACAGAGAGAAGAAGAGACAGAAAAATCTCTCCAATGATCCACTCCCCAAGTGGCCACAATGGCCAGAGCTGAGTTGATCCAAAGCCAGGAGCCCGGAGCCTCCTCCGAGTCTCCCACGTGGGTGTAGGGTCCCAAGGCTCTGGGCCGTCCTCGACTGCTTTCCCAGGCCACAAGAAGGGAGCAGGATGGGAATGGAGTAGCTGGAACATGAACTGGTGCCCATCTGGGATATCAGCACTTGCAAGAGGAGGATCAGCCAGTTGAGCCATTGCAGCTGGCCCAATTCCTTGGCTTTTACCAAGAACCAGAACAATCTTCCCCGAGTACCATCTTGTCCCGCTTCCCATGCCCGTGGAAAGAGCCCTGGGCTTAGAGCTGTACCCGCTGAGCTCTGGGTCACAAACATTGTGTCACCTGTGTCTTCTCCCTACAACAGGGGAAGCTAATATTCTGTGCCACAAATCTCACTGCCATGACGTCAATCCAGATATTCTCTTATAAGCCAAAGAACAAAACAAGTATGAGTGGCCTCCTCCTGAGGGGCCTCCACTTCCTCAACTCACCTTTCACAGCAACCATGTTACAGGCAGAGAAGTGACATAAACAGAGATGCAAACACCAAAAAATGAAAGCAGGCAACATATGCACAAGACCTTATTTATACATGATTTCATTTTTCTTTTACAGAAAAATGTCAACAGTTTCCTAGTCAAAATGGCTGGTGAACAAACAAAAACACAAAATAAATTTGAGCTTTGAGTTGTCCTTTGAAGGACAGCTGTGGAGGTCTTCTCATGCACCCTTGGCCAGTGGACCCAAATGCTATAACTCATTACTTCCACACAGAGGCGCTCTTGAGCCAAACTGACCTGAGAGCTACAAAATACCAGCACAACTCGCCAGCTTGCCAAGTTTCCGGATAAACTGACTGCTCCCAAGAAAACTGTGTCAACCATTCATTTAGGAAAAAAAAAAAAAAAAATCTTTCTAAATTGAACCACCTCACTTCCCTGGCTCAGCAAGGAGAAAATGCCAGGCATAGCTCTGGCTGTTTGGCTGACTCAGGATCCTACAGTGATGCCTTGGGGCAGCTCTCTGTGAACAAGCACCATTTCTGAGCAGCCCTTTCAGGGGGAGCAACCTGCCCTGACTCGGGTGACCCAGGCCCTGAATAAATCCCGGGCACCCCAGGCAGTGATCCCCTACCCTGCTTCCCTAGACTTCTCAAAGGAGGGCCTAGACCAGGGGTCAGCTCCGCACGCCCTCTGCATTCCTGCGGCTACCCAGAAGTTGGCCCTGGGGTATGAATGACAAGACATGGCCCACGCTTTAGAGTGACAGCAAATGTCAGTAACGATGAATCCCTCGTTTGGACCCCTTTTTCAAAAACAACAAAAGTAAGCCGTTCATGGAGCGCACTTCTAAAATCTAGAGGTATTGTTTTGCCAGTGAATCAAATTAAGCTTCCTACATTCACTCCTAATGGCTCAAGCAATGTCTACAATGGTATCAAAAGCAGGGGAGTTCTCCTAGATGCTAGCTGCCTAAATCCTCAAAGCTAAGAAGCAGGCAGGCTAGGAAAATTGTCTTTTGATTTTCTTAGCTCTGGCCCGTGTTCCCTCTGTGCAGGTCCCAGCCCTGGGGCTAGGTCATGTGTGTCCATGTGTCCCATCTTCCCAGCTCAGCCATGCTTCTCAGGTTCAGAGCCTACGAAGGCACTAGTTGCTAGTCAAAACTGGATAATATTTTAAATGTTCTTATTTATTTCATGTTGATTTTTTATTTATGGCAAACTGACTCTGGTTACTGATTTTCAACTCATGATATGACTTGTTGCTTTTTAGAATATTTTATAAAACTTAACACCATTAGGTCAATAATAGTGTATGGTAGTACCTCAGTGACTAAAGTTTGGGCAACAACGGCTGTAATCTAGTGAATCCAATTTTTAAAGTGACTTCCAAAGAAATAACAAACGTGGTAGAGAAGGAAACACACGCCAGTGTATTTGCAATGTGTGTGATAGTCTAGGATGAGCTCACCACAGCCTCTCCTAGACAAGATGGTTTCCAGAGTTACGAGTGAAGCGAAATATAAAAAGAGACAACTTCACAGAGATCCTGGACGACACAAGCCCTTGGTACCGTTAGGTGTGTGAGTAATATGACATTCAGCAGAGTCCTCTGTTGGAAGCAGGTGTGCCGATTCCTGCAGCCTCTTGGTCCAGTCTGTCCTATCGCCTCACAAAGGCAAGCTGGGGTAGTGGCACGCCTGCCTGGGGCCCAGAGCAGGTTCTGCACCTATTCTCTGTGTGGTCGCTTCAGCAAGGACTCGGGTGGCATCAGCCGGTGTTTCCCATTGCCGTTCACAGACAGGCCTTCCCGGCATGGCCAGGGTTCCTTGGGAGGATGGAGCAGAGTTTTCTTGGCAGGTCCTGCACGCTCACGGCACACCATGCTAACTGAAAAAGTGGCAAGAAGGAGAGAAAGAGAGCAGAGCCCCTCGCTCGTGGTGCAGTTTCTCGGTCACAGCGGCCGCGGGGATGCGTGCTCCCTTGTCCCCTGCCCCGGAGCCAAGGCATTGCGTCTCAGGGGTGCGGTGTCAGACATCGTAGTCCGGAGCCTTGCCCTGGGCTTGCCTGAGCCAGATCTGCAGGGTTACAAACGCTCCCACGGTCACATGAAAGAAGAGCTGCCAGAGGTTGCGTAGTTCATACAGATACATGTTGCACAGGCAAAGTAAGCCGAATGTCAAAAACGACTTGACGTTCCGCCAGCTGGTATAGTAGACGAGTAAATAACACTGTTCAAAACAGAGGAAAGACACGTCCGTTACAAGACAGTTCAGGGATGGATGCTTCTACTAGGCAAGTACAACCGGCCCAAGAGCACCACACGACAGCGGAATCCGGGGATAACACAACATAGCTGAGACATACAGCTCAGAAAGCCATATGGCTTGAAAAGGAAAGAGATTCTTCCTTGTACATTTTTCATTTTTTTAGAAGAAAGGTACTTTTTATCCTATTTTAAATGGGAGTACAAGGGCTGACTCCCTTGCAGAGGCCAGGTGGCCGCTGACGGCAACCTGACTAAGCAGCGTTCCCAGCTCTGACAAAGGCCCACCAGGCTATTTGAAACAGCACACTCTTGCAAAGCTGCAATGGAATCAACAACATCGTGTGGCCCCCTCTGAGTGCTGGCGGAGTATGACGGGAGCTTCTGGGGAAGCACTCAGTCAGGGCATGCTGGCAGAGGCCCTCCCTGGCTGGGAGGAGAACAGAGCCCTCTCCTACATGCTGCTGGCACTTCAGGGCAGGGATTATGAATGTATTTTTTATGTGGCATGGCAAATAGCAATGTCTTGAAAAAGATAAAAGCCAGCAGGAAGAAAAGGAGAGCCTGGAGGGGGGGCAAGATGGTACAGAATGCTTCCCACTAACTCTGGCATTTGCCCTTGCTGTCTGTTTTCTTCACAATGTACTCCAAACACCCATTTTTCTTATGCACAGACTTCCAATAAAATCTGAATCTCCTTCAGGGTGACATTTTTTTGGTCATTGGCTGACTCATTCTTCTCCAGGGCTCAGAAGAGCTCTCAGGCCGCACTGAGTGTTCAATGCTGAATGAACGAGGCTTTCCTAAGATGCCGTCTGAGATTCAAGGCCTGCAATGACAGGAATTAAATGGGATCACACGTGTGTGTGACATGGCAGCCAGGCCTCCCGAAGGGAATGATGTTCAGTGTTCTGTTAAGCGTGTTACAGTTCTTATACAAATGAAGGATTTTGCTTATTTAAAAAGAAGGCTGCAATCCAAGCAAAACGAATCGTAAGCTCTTATTTGAATAATTTTCACTATAGAAGGGTTGAAACTTCCCCAAAATCTTTTCCTCTGAAATAATTTTAGATTTAGAAAAAATTTACAAAAACAGTGGACTTCCCATTTTCTCTTCCTCTTGTTCCCCTAATGTCATCCTCTTACAGCACTGCTGCAAAATCGGGGCACTGACCCCCCTTTGTCTGCATTATGCCTGTGGTCCACGAGCGTGTCTCTAATCCCGGATACTGTAAGGCATTGGTGGTCGAGTCTCATCCCCAGGCTGTAACAGTCTCTCAGTTATTTTTTTCATAACCTTGACAGTCTTGAGAAATATCAGTTCTGTTGCAGAATGTCCCTCAGCTTGAGCGGGTCTGGTGTTTTCTCAAGAATGAACTGATACTATCTGATTTTTGGCACGATGAGCACAAAGCTGACAGGTACAGCGCCTCATGGCCAGCGCTGTTACCTTGGGAGTGTCTGCCAGGCCTCTCCACTGAGAAGTCATCCTAATTTCCTTTGTGAACAAAACGCATCTTGTCAAACTGTGTGGAGGACGAAATTCATGCAAATATCACAATAATTTCTATATCTATTGGAGATATTTTTATTGCAATAATGATTACTGGGACATTTACCTAATAGTAATTCTGTATTTTTACCAATTTATTAGTTGGAATTCTACTGTAAATAACAGCTAGTTTTCTGTGTCTCCTGGCTCTCAGCTTCGGATCAGCTCAGCTCTGGCCATGGTGGCCATCTGGGGAATGAACCAGAGGATGGAAGATCTCTATCTCTTCTTCCTTTTGTAAATTGGCCTTTCAAATAAAAATTTTTAAAAATTAGAAAGGAACATATACAATATACTCCACTAACCAGTACCGTGATCAAAATCTTTGTCCTGAATCTAATCGTGATCAAGGCAACCCAGACTGTAGCTCATGCTATATGGGACCTGCCTGGACTGTTCAAAAATGTTCATGTTATGACAGGACTGGTTTGGTAGCCTAGCAGCTAAAGTCCTCGCCTTGCACACACTAGGATCCCATATAGGCAACGGTTCTAATCCTGGCAGCCCTGCTTCCTATCCAGCTCCCTGCTTGTGGCCTGGGAAAGCAGCTGAAGATGGCCCAAAGCCTTGGGACCCTGCACTTGCATGGGAGGCTCGAAGGAGGCTCCTGGCTTCGGTTCGGATCAGCTCAGCTCTGGTCATTGTGGCTGCTTGGTTGAAAGATGATCTTCTATGTCTCTCCTTCTCTCTGTATATCTCACTTTCCAATAAAAATAAATCTTAAAAAAAGTCCATGCTATGAAAGATAAAAACAAGCTGGAGATTGTACTCTAGAGTAAGAGACACATAATGACCCACCTGCATTCTGCTAGATCAGGGAAATTAGCAGTAAAGAACATTTTGGAGACAGCTGAAATAATGTGAATATATTTCAATGTTAAATAACAATTGTATCAATGTTAAATCTCTTTGAGTATGCTACGTCATGGTGATACAGGCAGATTCCTAGACATGAAACCCAGACATGGAGTTGAAGAACCTGGCAACTAGAAATGTCAATGGATGCAGAACTCTCCTGTGCGCCAAAACAGAAACTTCAAAAGATTAGGAAACTGGATGCTTAGCAAGGCAGAAAACTTAGTCAAGAATATAGCAGCCAAACGCCATCTACCCATGACCACATCACCAAAGCCTAGGTGGAAGACCAGAACGCTGGAAAGAGATGTCCTGCAGGCCCTCTTTGTGTGGCTTCCAGACAAGCAGAAAGCCAGGATTTTTGTTCCTGTAAGATGGTAATGAGCTCCCTCAGCTCCAGCCCTCACCCAGTGACATCAGTGGAGATCATGTCTGGTCTGGACTTTTACCTGCTCCTCCTAATACAATAGTGATTTCTACAGAAACTATAGAGCCAGAAAAAAGTGGGAGGATATCTCAACTGTTGGAAAAAAAGAGCTGCCAAACCAGAATTCTGTATCCTTTAGGGAATATCCTTTAGGAACACAGGGACAATTGGAAAAAAGAAGAAATTCTCAGATAAGAAAAAACTATGAGAATTTATTGCAAAGAGATATGCCATGGTTTGAATTCTCATGAGTCCCAGAAAAATTAATAAAATTAAAAACAAAAGAACAAAATGAATGAAGCAAACAGCTGGCTCTCTGAAAAGATGGATGAAACTGAGATGCAGAAATGACAACAAAAAAGAAAAGATACCAATGGCCAAAATCATAAATAAAGACACCGCTAAAGGCAGTGTAGACATCAAAAGGGCAATGAGAGAATACTGCAACAAATTCCACACATATAAACTTAACAGACTGAAACAGATCATAACCTCAAAAACCACAGCTTTCATAACTCATCCAGCAAGACACAAGTAACTTAGATAATCCTACAACTATTTAGGAAATTGTATTTAAGACTTAACACATAGCTACACGGTTCTGATGAAGGCATAAACACTAGGTCAATGGAACAGAACACAGAACCACAGAAGAGTGCCACACAAATATGTCCATCAGATATTTCGGCAAAGGAGCAAAAGCAATGAAATGGAGAAAAAAGGCACCCGTTTTAACAGTGATGGAGCAACTGGACATGTCTAGGCCAAACAAAACAAAACAAAACAAAACAAAACAAAACAAAACAAAACAAAAAACAGTAGGGCCTGGTGTGATAGCCTAGCAGGTAAATCCTTGCCTTGTAATGTGCTGGGATCCTGTATGGCCATTATTTCATGACCCCAGCTGTTCCATCTCCCATCTAGATCCCTCCTATGGCCTGGGAAAGCAGTAGAGGATGGCCCAAGGCCTTGGAACCCTGCATCTATGTGAGAGACCCAGAAGAGTTCCTGGCTCCTGATTTCAGATAAGCTCAACTCCTGCCATTGCAGCTATTTGGGAAGTGAACCAGCAGATGGAAAATCTTTCTCTCTGTCTCTCCTTCTCTCTGTAAATCTGACTTTCCAATAAAAATTTTTAAATAAAGACAAAAACACTGATAATTACAATTTCCCAAGTGACAAAAATTCACTCAAAATGGATCGTGAGCTTAAACTGTAAAAGCTAAAATGATGAAACTTTCTCTTTTTAAGCGTAAACTATTCAGCAGCTGAGTACTTAGTCACGACACTGCAAGCATGATCCACAAAAAGAAAAATTGATCAAATGAGTTGTATATCAAAATGTAAAACTTACTCTGGAGAAAGACCTTAGTAAGAGAATGAAAAGACAAAAACAAAGCCCAGGAAAGATAAATAAGTAAGTAGGCAAGTAAGTAAATAAAAACAAACTGCATTAGACGGACTGAGTGCCAGCTCTGTTTCTGAGCCCACCTGGGAGGAAGCAAGTGAGGCACTGAGAGCTGGGCTCCCTGCCTGCTGGGGCAGCTGCATTGTCCAGGCTCCTGGCTTCAGCCTGGCCCAGAACACACAACACTACAATCATTCTACATGGTATATGTGGACAGCAGGCAATTTCACGCTTGTATAAAAAAGTGCTTTTTTGGTTTTCTTTACTAAAGTGTTAATGATTTACTTCTTTCAAGTAAAAGAACCCCTGAGCGCAGCCCCTCCCTGCGAGGTGACTCTCAGAACTGTTCCAGACTGCTCTGGCTCCGAGTCACAGCTCTCCGAGCCACGCAGGCCTCACTGGGAAACGGGGAGCAAACTTAGTGTGAGGACTTACTGTGAATGCCAAGTGCTCAGCACAAAAGTAAGAACTCAACACGTTCTGCTACTGTAAGCATCGAAAATGACCTCATTAAGCCAAAGCCACCAAACTCTGACTTTATGAAAATGATTATTTATGGAATTATTTTAAATTATTACTTGCCTTGTTTTATTTTAGAATCACACGAGATCAATGTTACAAAAAACACAACGACACAAAGTAGAAACTTTATAGATAGTGTGGCACTCTGCAAAAATCACAGCACTTAAAAATGGGATTTGGGGGCCTCGTGTGGTAGTCTAACAGCTAAAGTCCTCACCTTGCACGTGCCTGGGATCCAAGATGGGCACTGGTTTGTATCCTGGCAGCCCCATTTCCCTTGCAGCTCCCTGCTTGTGGCCTGGAAAGCAGTCCAAGGTGGCAGACCTAGAGGAGGCTCATGGCTCCTGGCTTTGGATCAGCACAGCTCTGGCAGTTGTAGCTGTTTAGGAAATGAGTCAACAGATCTTTCTCTGTCTCTCCTCCTCTCTGTATAGCTGACTTTCCAATAAAAAATAAATCTTTGGAAAAAAAAAAAAGGAAATGGACCCAGTGCAGTAGCCTAGTGGCTAATGTCCTCACCCTGTATGTACCAGGATCCCATACGGGTGCCGGCTTGCGTCCTGGTTGCTCCACTTCCCATCCAACTCCCTGCAGGTGGCCTGGGAAAGCAGTTGAGGACGGCCCAAAGCCTTGGGACCCTGCACCTGTGTGGGAGACCCGGAAGAACTCCTGGCTCCTGGCTTTGGATTGGCTAAGCTCTGGCCATTGTGGCCACTTGGGGAGTGAACCAGTGGATGGAAGATCTTTCTCTCCGTCTCTCTATAAATCTACATTTCCAATACAAATAAATAAATCATCAAAAAATACAGGAGACGCAGAGTTAATGAAAATAAATAAATCCTAAAAAAAAAAAAAAAATACAGGAGACATGGAGTTAAGTCCCAACTTCACTTTCTGCAGATCTCTGCCCTCCGACTTCCTATGGTGAGACAACACACCCTGTGGGGCAGCACTGTGGTGATTCAAGCAGAAAATCTACACAAAAATATTTCATAAAATTAAAGCAATTCCAGACCTTAACAAATCCAAGCCTTTACAACGTCAACATGAGCTATCACTCATGAAGTCTGACTAATTTGACAGAAATTTCTGAAGACAATGGAGGAAAATTTCGAGGATTTTTTAAAAATGTGGCCCTTGAAACTAGAATTTCTAAGTGTATTTACATGAAAGTCTAACACATATACTTAAAAAATTTCCCAAAATACCTTCATAGAATTTTTACTTAAAATATTTTGTTTTGAAGATTCATCATCTGCTAGCACACTTTCCAAATGCCTGCAATGGTCAGGGATGGGAGCCAGGAACTCCATTCAAAGTCTCTCACTGGATGGCAGGGACCCAAGTCCCTGGGCCATACCCTGCCACCCTCCCAGGGGCACCAGCAGGGGGTCAGGTCGGAACTGAACAGTTGGCATCCTCACATGGAAGGCAAGTAGCAGTCCAACCCACTGTACCACAATACTGGTGCCTATATAAAATTACTACAATTACATTTCTGATTCTTCCTAATGTGTTTTTTTCCCCATATAAGTCAAAGAAATGTGTCAAGTATAGCAGGGCCGAAGCCCTTGCTTACTCTTGTATGTTTTGACAAAGGTGGTCCTGAGTTTGGGTAACTGGTGTTGCTGTCCCCCCCACTGCACCCCCTCTAGCCTTGGATATGTCAATCCCAGTCTCCACGTCCCCTGAGTGCCACACGCTCTCTCCTCCCTACGTCTCACAAGCACTGTCTTCAACCTCGCAAGTCTTCTTTCTTAAGTGCCTCACTGCCATGATCGCACAGTCTTGGCCCTCAGTACTTTCTGCCACTAAGAGAATCATCTTCCCATCAAGTTCTTTGAGTCAGTCTTTGCTTTTGGTATCCACCTTATTCATCACTGCCAAACAAAGTGTCCTAATATTCACGCAGACTTTGAATTGCTTTGGTGGTTTTCAAAGACTTTCCCTCCAAACACAAAGTCATTAGCTTATTGCATCAGCAGAGCATGGAAGTTGACCAATCAGTGATCAGAAAATCTGCAAAGAGCCATACTGTTGTTGGAACACACCCAACTGGATAAGCTGGAGTGACAGAGAGAAGGCTGGGAACCTGTTGAGAAGAGGCTTCAGGCAGAGGCTTACGGCCTGGGAAAGCAGCAGAACTTAGCTCAAGTCCTCGGACCCCTGCACCCATGTGGGAGACTGAGAAGTTCTTGGCTCCTGGCTTTGGATTGGCTCAGGCTGTTGTAGCCACTTAGAGAGTGAATCAGCAGATGGGAAGACCTCTCTGTCTCTCCTTCCCTCTGTAAATCCACCTTTCAAATAAAAATAACATATTTTTAAAAACCACAAACGGACAAGTAATGATTAAAATTGATAACTGAGACAACCAACAGTCCGGAAGCATTGTTACAAATGGAGAACACCTACCTGGTAAAGGCAGGCTGCTGTTCCAAGGAAAAACGCAATGATGTAATTAAAATCCTCACCATCGCTCTGCAAAACAGAAATAAAAGCTGACTTCTTTCTTAGTGGGCATCCATTTCTAAGACAATTCATCAGGACAGGTTAAGACAATATGTAATACATTCAACATTTCCACAAATACGTAAAAATTCTCAAGTCCTGGAATAGAAACAAAAATACTTCATTTAACCCAAGAAATGTGAGGTAGAGGAAGACAAGTGTTCTGCTGTGTCAACTACATTTCACCCAAGATAAAAACCACTGAGGAAACCTCTCTGAGTCATGGGAAGGTCTATCTTCTTATCAACAAAGCTGAATAAAGATGTGTGACCCCCTGGTGGACCAGTTATCCCTGCTCACATAAACAATGTAGAAACTTCACACGACTGCACTTTCAACAAAACATGAATAATCTGGGGCAGCTGTTGTGGCATAGCAGGTAAAGGTGCTACTTAAATACCAGCTTCCCTACGGGTGCAGGTTGAGTTCTGGCCATTCCACTTTTAACCCACTTCCTTGTTAATGAGTCAGAGAAAGCAGCAGAAAGTAGCCTGAGTACTTGGGTTGTCCCTACCACCCGCATGAGAGACAGGGAAGTTTATAGCTCCTGGCTTACGGTCCAACCCGAGGCCATTTGGGGAGTGAACCAGTGGATGAAAGAAAGATCTTTCTCTGTCTTTATTTCATTCAAACAGTGAATAATTTGGCATGATTTAAAAAAAAAAAAAAAAGACTGAAAACTAAAAAGTTACTGTCCACTAGAGTGTGCTAAATGCAAGCTCTGCTGGAGAAACAGCTACCCAGAGGGAAAACTGGTGAGCAGAAATTTCTTTGAAAACAAAACTAGACATTTGTCGCATACCAAGCTTTCCTACTCTTTTTCAGTTCCTCTTAAATATTCTATACTCAACAGCTCCTTCCAATTTAGTTACGAAATAGAACTTAATGTTTATGAAAGAGTATTAGATTTGTTTTTCTTCCAGGAAGAAATGTTAAAATTTGGTCATTTTTTTTATTTCAAGAAAAAATCTTTGGGCCCAGCATGATAGCGTAGCGGTTAAAGTCCTTGCCTTGAACGTACCAGGATCCTATATGGGTGCCGGTTCTAATCCCGGCGGCCCTGCTTCCCATCCAACTCCCTGCCTGTGGCCTGGGAATGCAGTCAAGGACGGCCCAATGCTTTGGGACCCTGCACCTGTGTGGGAGACCAGGAAGAACTCCTGGCTCCTGGCTTCAGATTGGCTCAGCAGCCGCCGTTGCAGCCACTTGGGAAGTGAAGCTTTGGATTGAAGAAATTCCTCTCTGCCTCTCCTCCTGTCTGTATATCCAGCTTTCTAGTAAAACAAAAAAACAAGAAAAACAACAACAACAACAACAACAAAAAACTTTTACACAATGAAAATTCTACAAGACACATAAGTACGTCCATGAAAGCTCTTCACAAAACAGTATAAAGAACATACTCTTCCTGTGCTGGCTATGGGCAGCAGAATTGACTGTGCAGAAAGCACTAGAGTGGCTTATCCCAGTGACAACATCTTCAAACAGGAACAATCAACTTGGCTGGCTGCTCAGGGCAGTCAGACCCCAGAGGCAGGCAAGGTCAACATGCGCCCTTCCCACCGCAACAGCTCTAAGACTTTAAATAAAAGTTCTGCCTGATTGATTGCTTAGTTCTTCATTTTTATGACTCTTATTTTTCTGATTGTAAATAAACATTCATTACATTGCAGAAAATTTGCAAACTAGAGATCATACAAAGAAATTCATACAGGCCATAAATACGACTCTGAGAACTGGAATTTTCTAATGTACTGCCTCTGGTGTGTATGTGTATGCATGTACATTTTAAAGAAAGGTAATGATATCTTTATATCCTGCTGCTTAGTATTTCATATTCTATCATACTTTTGCAAGACAATAACTATTCCTCAGCCACAGAATTTATAGTGACTGAATTATAATTATAATCATTTACAATGATTGTATAAACAATGCAGGGCTGTATCACAATTTAATTAATATCCTACAACTGGAAATCATGCTTTTTTTCTAAATTTACACTATCATTTTAGAACTCTTAATTGTGCCTGGAACCTTTGAGCACACATTTCTAAAGTCAGTCAGACTTGGCTTCGAATCTTTACTAACAATCTATATAAATGCAGACCATTTTATTTCATCACAATTTCTTCTACTGAAAAAAGAAAATAGTTGCCTAGATTAAGTGAAATAACACTTGTTTGTACATATGTTATATAAAGTCTGTGGAAAATAGAATGTTCTAGATCTCCCAGAGAGGTGGCAGAAACTCAACTACTTGAACCATCACTGCTGCCTCCCAGGTTCTGCATCAAAGATGGAAATACACAAACACTGAGGGGTTGGGTGGGATAAGAAGTTGGAATGGGGAGCCAGAGGAAAACAGGAACCCCAGGCACTCTGCTGCAGGATGCAGGCATCCCAACAGCACCTACCTTGCCACTTTTTCTTTTTTTTTTTAAGATTTATTTATTTTTATTTGAAAGACAGATTACAGAGAGGAAAGACGGGGAACAATCTTTATCCGCTGTTTCACTCCCCAGATGTCTACGACCATTGGAGCTGAGCTGAGCCAGGAGCCAGGAGTTTCTCCTGGGGCTCCCGTGTGGGTGTAGGGTCTGAAGAACTTGGGCCATTCTCCCCCGCTTCCCCAGACTATAAGCAAGTGGAGGAGCTAGGATACCAACCGGCACCCATACCGGCACCGGTATACACAGGGTGAGTATTTCGCTGAGCCAATCACCAGTCTCCCATCACCAACTTTCTGAAGTACCTTTTAGAAAATGCCTGGCACACAACAAGCACCCACATTCATCCTGGGGTTTCTGTTACTCATCTGTGTCACTGATCTGACAGACAACTTTCAGTGCTGTCTGAATCCCTTAAAAAGGCGTATTTTCTCAATTAGATGCTAATTTTTCTTTCTGTCAGAGTCAGACAAATAGATACATATACACATGCAGAGTAGAAGGGAGGAGAACAGACAAAGACAGATCTTATGAGAGTGCTCCCACCCATTGGTTCGTTTCCCAAATATCCACAAGTGCCCAGGCAGGGCCAGTGCCAAAGTGGGGGTAGGGCATAAAACCCAATTCTATGTGAGTAGGAAGCTTGAGTCAGGAGCCAGAGCCAGGAATCAAACTCGGGAATTCTATAGAGAATACAGATGTCTTAAATAGGCTACACATCTGCTCCCAGATTCTAGTCATTCTTGAAGTCAGAATATAAGTCTATTTGAAACAGTATTCCATAATAGGAATTCAACAAATGCATGCCAAGTTGAGTTAAACTTGGAAAAAATCTTTGTATCTAGTCTACTAAATGCAGAATTCTTTATAAACATACTTTTTCATTCAATAACTATTCCTTAAGCACTTATGAAACAGACATAAGTAACAAAAAATATAGACGTTCAGATCAATTAAGTTGTTCACCTGTGAATTAAGAAGGCAGATACTGGGCCTGGTGGTGTAGCATAGTGGCTAAGGTCCTTGCCTTAAACGTGCCTGGGTTCCAATATGGGCGCCAGTTCTAATCCCAGCCGAACTGCTTCCAATCCAGCTCCCTGTTTGTGGCCTGGGAAAGCAGTCGAGGACGGCCCAAGGCTTTTGGACTTTGCACCCATGTGAGAGACCCAGAAGAGCTACTGACTCCTGGCTTCAAATTGGCTCACTCCAGTCGTTGCGGCTGCTTGGGGAGTGAACCATCAGACAGAAGATCTTCCTCTCTGTCTCTCCTCCTCTGTATATCTGACTTTCCAAATAAAAATAAATAAATCTTTTTAAAAATAACAACAATAAAAAGAAGGCAGATATTAAACAGTTCTCATCAAAGTGGTGATGGATGGGATGAGATGGGTATGTCTAGTACACCAGGGGAGCCCACAGGAGATCATGCAGTTCTGTTCCCAGGAGAAAAAGAGGTCAGGGAGAGTTTCCTTTAGGAAAGCTTCACCGGGTCTTGAAGGCTCAACAGGTGGTCCAGGCTAACAAGGCAGAAGGGAAGCACTTAGAGGGAGGAGGTTGGAATGGCTTCCTTCTGAATAATACAAGGAAACAGAAAGACCATGCAGCCACCAAGAATGGACCAGATCTCTGTGTGCTGATAGAAAATCCTCTGACATATCATGTCGTGGAAAAAAAAAAGATGTACACTATCATTTGTGTAAGACATTTCAAAAGAATAATACTTAAGTAAACCTATAAATACAAACATGCTACTTTATGCATACAACCTCAGAAACGCCAGTGGTTGATTCTGAGGAGGAGAAATGGGGAAAGAATAATTTTTTGGTAAAAATTACATATCAATTTTCATAAGCTTTCCAGTATATCATATGCTGACTTTACTGTGTATGTTATGCATGAGCAGGTATTAACTTTTTTAAAAAGCCACAATGAAAACATTCAGGAAGAAGGGATAGTATTAGAAGACTAAAAGTCAAGCAAAGAGTACTGGAAAATTTTATCATTTAAAGAACAGATTAAAAAAAAAGATATATTAAAAAAGTGAATTTATCAAATACACCGAGGAATAGGAAGGCAAAGCAGAAAGCAGAACAATCAAAAGAAAGAAAACTGCTCCGTGAAAATGAAGGGATGAGAGCTGGTCAAGAAGGATTACTACGTTCCAGGATTAGTGTCTATTTTATTGGCTTCTAAGTTTTCTGAAATAAGCACAATTTTTCTGAAATGAAAACGAGGGAAGAAGTGAATGATATGTGAAAGGAGGTAGAGAGGGCATATAAGCTTAAGAAGTAACTGCAGAATCTGGCAAGCAGGAAGACACACCGAGCTCCATGTTTGGTGTCTGGAAGAATTTCGGAGATCAGAGTAGACAAGGAAAGCAGATGGAGAGGGAGAGAGGACAACAGACACAGTCTACTTGTTCAAGAAATTAGAAAACACACGGGGAGGCTGTTACTGTGTTACTGCCAGTTGTTGCTGTTACAGCATAGCAGGACTGAAGGCAAAGAGTCAGAGAAGTTA